GGATGCAGTCCATACCGTCGTCGACTTCAGCGTCGTGCGCGTTTCGCCAAATTGTGCATACTTGGTTGCATTTCTTGCAAAGCAATTCTGCCTTCGAAAGCAATTCTGCCTTCGAGATCTCGGCGGAGGGGGTCATGGCCGTCTGGGTAAGGGGCTCCGACGGTCGGCATCTAAAAGAAATACGCGTTGGCCGAAGTCGAAGGATGAAGTGGTGGTTGGAGCCAACCTCTGAGCGAAGGGGATTTCGTGAGACTTTCTCCCACTTACTCAACGCACGGGACATGTAGGGACTACTGTATCGAAGTTGCAATGTCTTGTGGACATTGTGACCGGCTTGTTGGAGTCGCCAGTCTTGTATTTTCAGGGTTGGAGTCGTTTCGGGGGCGTTGGAGGTGTTTCGGGGAGCGGAATGATTGCTTGTAATGTTTGCTTTCTCAAAAAGGCAAGACCCCGGTGCTTTGCTGACAAAAGCCTTGTTGGAGGGTGGTTTCGTTGTGTTGTTGGTCCTCATGATGACCTCAGAGGTGGGGATCTCATTATTGGTTCGGGGCCCACTCCCGGCTCGTCGTGGTGTACATACTGGACCTTTTTTTCTTTTATCTATTTCTTTTCTGACCCATTCAGCACAAAGGAGTCAATGCGAAGATGCTTACAACAGTCAGATCCCAGAGTTCGGGTATCATACTGAATCTGACTGAGCTTGGGCGCTCAGCTTAGCCGCTTGAGATGACTGGCTTGTTGGGGTACATCGCAAGATCCCTGCATGTGTGAGATGAAGGATGTGATTGAGCAAGGGGCATACCCTTGGCGCTTGGCGGGGTCACCATGTGATTGTTGTTCCCGTTGGCATCCTCCGCTCATTTGGCCACTCATACCAGCGGCCGACATGTCTTGTCGCAGCTGTCTGTGTAATTGCGTCCGGCCAACCACTGAAATGACGGCGCCTGGATCCATTTATCCGGCCCCACTCGGCATGCGGGCGGTGCACCGATCCCGGTCACTGCAGCCCAGAGGAGTGAGTTGAAGGAAGACATGGCTCTGCTTCATGGAAGCGCGCAAAGTGCACTATTGGACATGGTTGAGATACCTTACTCAAGTGAGTGTGAGATTTATGAGATGCATCGAACCTGGCCTTCGCGATCAACATGGCCATTTACTTTGATCATCCTTACGATAGCCTCCCAAGCAGGGCCTCAAAGCTAATTACCTTTAGCTGAGGTTTGATTATCTCTCTTAAGTGTACTCCAGAAGACCTTCAATTGTTTACGGGCCTTAAACATGTTTAACTACGAGTCTGATCATATGCCATGCTCCCTTCGAGAATTCGCTCGCCGTCAACACTCGGGCTCTCCGTCTCTATAGCTTTGCCTTGCAGATGATCTCTATGAACCAAACGCATATTCGTCTCCAGCCTCGTAAGCAGAAAGAAAGGCTTTTGCTCCTCTCCGGGCACTGAGGGAGAAGAACCACTACTAACCGCTGCGCAAAATTCCTGGACAGGTTGGCTCCCGCACGAGCCTAAAGCTGCGATGAAGACCTTTGAGAAAGTGCAGGGCTATTAAAGAGAAGTAAACCTGCTACCGCTATCACAAAACGTAGGCGTTATGATGTAAATTGCATTACTGTGCTTGAGATTGTCGATTTTGCCTCACAATTTCTCAAATGCCTCCGCGCCTACAAGACAACAATATAGCTAGCTTTCATGATTTACTTGAGAAGTAAGACCGCCGCCAGCCGCCACATTAAAAGGCTCATTCGGGCACACCAGGTGAGCAGCTTGGAGGATAATTGTATTTTGCAGAAACGCATTTAGTGTCAGGATCAAGTGCTTGGGAAGGAGGAGTACATAAGGACTTTTTTGCGAGCTAATTGGAGACGTTTGAAATGCCAGCTTCATGATACGGACCATGATGAATGTTTCCCTATTTCCATTTCTCCCTTGAATGGGAGCAGAACATGATGGTAGCCAATTGAGTGTCGAGAAAATGAATTCTTCGGCCTCTGGTCGGTTCTTTTGGGGTTTGAGGCTACGACAGAATATTTTCCCAGTATGACGTGAATCATTTGGGTAAGTTTTCAAATGAGTTCCCCTGGTTCTGACGCATTTTATGACGCATTCTGTTCACTATGATTGCGTTATTTAACGTGATATGGGCTCCTTATAAGTTTCTGAGAGACGTTTTCCATATGCTTTCGTCTGGTATTTTGTTTCAATTCAGTGAGTGAGGTAGCTTTTGGAACAGTCGGGAAGCGCTGTTAATGCTATGACACCACCTTAGTTTCAAGCTTCACTTATATTATCGGGAGTCATGAGCACATCAGGACTCAGATGACGGGAAAATCAATGCGGAGAACGAGTATAATGCAGCACCGCGCCAGTATGACGATCAGAAAAGCTCAAGACTCCCATTTGAAAACCAATAACAAAAGCAACAGCGACCAAACAGACAACAACACACGAACCGATAGCAAAGCACCACCGCAACAACAGCGAATCTCAAACGAGCCCGAAAGCAAAGACGAACCACAAAACGAAAACGATAAACGGCCTCAATGGCGCCAGTAAACACAAGCGGACAGAACACGAAACACACCAAACACCCTTACTCGTCGTCTGAATCGAAGACTAAGCTGGTGAACATGGTTCCAGCCCGACGCACCGGCGGCGTTGGCACCAACTCCTCATCGTACTCTGAGCTCAACTCGTCCTCAAAGGCCCGGTCGGCGCGAGGTTCGTTGTCGGGCTCGGCAATGCCCTCCTCTTGGGCGACAGCGGTGTCGAGAACGGCAGCTCGTGCGTGCCATGCGATGTCCTGACGATCGGCAAGCCGCATACGGGATGTGAAAGTGCCTTGCCTAAGCTGGGACATGGTGGTGTCGTACACGCGCTGGGCGATCCTATCAAGCTCCTCCTCCTGGTTCGCAGGGGGTGCCCTAGGGCGGCGAACACGGCGTGCGGGCGGGGGTGGGGGGGCCTCTTCGGATTCGGAGTCGGAGTCAGAGTCGGAGTCTGAGTTGCGGTCAGAAGAGACGGAAATGGTGCGGCGGCGTTTGCAGGGGGGCGCATCGGACTCTGAGTCAGATTCAGGCCGGGATCGGACGGCGCGGGGAGCAGATCGGATGGCAGGGCGGGCGGGCGAGCTTCTGAAAGGGTCATCGTCGGAACTCGGGGCAGTGGGGCCATGGGGCTCGTCACCAACGAGGGGGATGTTGTGGTCTCGCAAGGGGATATCGTTGTCATCGCCGAAAAGGGGATTGTAGTCGTCGCGCGCGTCGTAGCGGAAGCCGAGAAAAGCGTCATTGTTGCGACGAGAAGCTTCAGTCTCCTCCTCTTCCTCTTCCTCCTCATCCCCGTGTTGCTGCTGCTGCTGCTGATGGCGCTCCTCCGCATCCTGCATCAGGCCTATGACTTCTGCTTCTGCTGCGGCCTCCTCCATCTCAGCCTCGTGGAGAGCGAGCATGCGCTGTGCGGCTGCTTCTTCCTGGTGGAGGAGCTCCAGCTCAGCCCAGTCCCGTTCTTCGGCAGCTTGTTCGTGCAGGCGCTGGACCCTCACAACCTCAGCATCGGCGACGGCAAGCTCAGCAGCGAGCATCTTGGCGGCTTGTGTAGCTACGGCCTTGGTGAGGTTAGAGGCCCCGGAGGTGATGACAGCCCGAAGCAGCAGCCCGGCATTGTCAGGGTCTCGTGGGGAGCCGGCCCAGAGAGCGGCCAAATCGTTGGTGGTGGCGCCGGGGCGGGAAAGCACTTTGTCGGTGATCCAGACCATCTTGCGGATGATGAGGGGGGCGATGGGCGGTCTAGGAGCATAGGCAGCGGGAACCCAGGGGTGAGCTCCCCAACGGTGCTGGAGAGTCGCAAGGCCTCTCTCCGCGCTGATGTCTTTGGTGGCAACGGAGGGGTTCTCGCGGAGATGTTGGTGAAGCTGTCGTCCATGGCCTTCGACAGAGGCGAGCAGCAAAGCCGCAGCGCGCGAGGCAGCTTGTGGGCGAACAGCGGCGGCGGGCGTGATGATGTCGTTGATGAAGGCAGACACGACATCAGCGGTGGGGGCGGCGGTATGGGGATATGTATCAATGAAGTTCTACATTATTGGCAATATTAGTATCGGAGTTGTGTGAGACGATATATGGTTCAGAGATGATGGACATAAAACTCGCTGGTCTGACCAGGCTCTGTACTGGATTTGGAGTGAAAGAATCATCTTAAGATGCTTTTATGTGGAAAAGGGGTGGATAATATAGAAACACATACGAGTCGTCCGCGGTTCGCGCCAGACTGGTTGTCGCGGTTTGCCATAGTGGTTGAGGTCGAGGGAGGTGAGGTGAGGCGAGGCGAGGGGCGATGAAGTCAGACGCAAGACAAGAGAAGACCGCACAGAACACGACTAAACACTGGCCGAAGCCGAAAAACCGAACGAACGAACGACAAGCAAACAGCACCGAAAGGCGAGGATGATGATGGCTGCAGAAGGGAAAGGAGAAGTTCAGCGCATGAGGCGGTGGTATGGCCTCGCAGACTCTGCGCGCAGGCACATGAGACGCAGGTGCTCTCCTCCCATGTGGCTTTCATGTCGGTTGGCACCTGCCGATGGACATCGCACTTGCCATGTACACATCGCGCCTGCTCACACTCGCACATCACTGAGAGGCACTGTGGATGGACCTGCTGCTTGAAGGGAGGGGGGAACCCAGCGACGGCAAGATACGAGGGAAAGACACGGGAGTCGATGCTGAAGCAAAAGCTAAAGGAAAGATGGTGATTCTCCTATCTGTCGATCTTGCTAGACGCAGGTGCCTACTTCGCATTCCGGAAAGTCCCTGAGCGCCTCCCCGGCCACTTGGCCTCCCTCTCAGTATTGGGCGTCGTCATCGGGAGTGCTCCACTTTCGTCTCTGCCAAATGCCCAAAAGTGGAGCCCACCAAAGCACACTGCAGTCTTCCATGAGTGTCACCTCCCTTTGCCGCCTGCTTTGTTAAGCCATCCCATGCAAACACCTCCTTCAGACGGACCCCGCCCTGTAGATTATCCATGAAAGTTGCCATCGGTTGCGCTGTGCTGCAAATACTTCCGGCTTGGGCATCGGAATCTCGTCGTGCTTCCAATCTCCAATGCGTTGCGCCCATTCAATGTCAGCGCTGTTGTCAAACTTCCAGTGCGGCTTGGGGCCCTCCTCGATCCGTTTTCTCTCGTCCGACACTCGCTGTGCTATTTGAGCGCGGTCCGTCGTATCAACCAACGCGCCCAGCCTTACGAGTCTGGACACCATGTGCACAGCTGAAAGTTCGCCTTCCTCTCTGTCCTGACTTCTCCCCTTGACATCCTCGGAGAAACAAGCGTAGTGAAGGCTCCAACACCCAGCCTCGTCTGGCCAGTCGTGAACTGGTCCATTCCGTCCAATCGTATCTTGGAGCGGGCCGTGGCACTGGTCGATGGTCCACTCCATCATTTCCACCATGCGGCCCGCAGCCATCATATGCAGCCCCGTGAGACCTCCACAGCTGCTGTGCGGCCGATCCCATACAGCTCCCTTGCTGATCAGAAGTTTCGCTATCGCCTCGTTTCCGTGTGCGAGAGCTAAGTGTAGGGATGTCGGCTCAACACTGCCTCCGGCAGACCACATGCCTGTCGTGCAAATAGCATTCATGTAAGGCGACGGGCAGAGACAATCCAACAACGCGCTAGGGTCAATTGATACTCGACGGTTGAGAAGCCAGCGGGCCATGTCCTCGTCGCCTCGCATTGCGGCTGCATGAAGGAGAGTGGCATACGGCTGGCCATCTTCGGGGTCCATGTGGAGCTTGGTCGGGCACCTCCAGGGGACGTAGAATGGAGCGGACAAGACTCGTGCGGTGTCAAGAGGTCGGAGGACTTGCGGAATGTAGGCGACCAGACGAGACAGGAGAACGAGATCGCCGGAGAGCGCAGCGGCCATGAGAACACCTACCCGATTGGCGGGAAGTTTTCTGCCATCGTCAGAAATGCGCGGGCGAGATTGAGGAGAGAGAAGATTGCTCACTTTGGCATTGGAGGCCCAAAGAGCCGTCGATAGTCTGGGGGGCTTATGGCTCGACTGCCATGCAGAAACCGCCTGGCGCCGTTAGCAACGGAGTTTGCAGGGTGGATGGAAACCGACATCCAGGACCTGCCGGGACAGAGCATATACCAGTCCCACAGGATGGCATGCTTGTAGAGAACGGGGTTCGCGACGCCATGCAGTATGGGCGACACTAGAGTCAGGTGGGCCAGGCTCCGCAAGTCGAGATTGGCGTTGTGATCAGGAATCGCAAGGGCTTCGGCGATGCCGGAGAGTATCTCAGGAGGGAGATTCGAGAGGCAATCCATCGTGGTGCTCAGGCAGGCAAGTTTGAGTTGGCTTTGTTTCTTCGCGGAATGAATGCAGATGATGCCTCGGGAAGACGTTGTCAGGAGGCGTGGGAGTTGAAATAAGGTGTTCAGTACCCAGCGTGCAGTGTTTTTTGGTGCCTGGAGATGACAGCGGCCCGGCCCGGCCTGTGAGACAGGCAGGGATGCCACCCAGCGCCTCTCGTTTGTCCGAACACGCGCCTGACTTGTTTCTTGGCGAGGCAGATGCGCTCTCGGCACCTTCCAGTGGAGATGGAATTCAGCGGTCGCGACGGTGCAATGGAAGGACACTCACTGGAGGTGCCTGCCCGTACCGGCGTGACGTCGCTCCACCTTCCCCACCTAAATCTTTTTTTTCTTTGGGAGCCTTCACAGTGTTGACCGTGTCACGTTGGTTATCCGTGAGGCCCGCAGAAGTACCTTGCCTAGGTACTCAGTGCACGGCGAAAAACTGCTAGGGCCCCTAAAACAAATCCATACCTCCCGATTTCCCGGTGCGAAATCGGTAGGTACCAATCCTTTCAGTGGGCCATCCGCTGGAAGCCCCCCTGGCAAAGTTGCCTTCGAAACCCGACCTGACGCTCCGCTTTGACGACAGTCACGAATGGCCGGAATCTGCGATAATTGAAAACAAGACAGCGTTGACAATGCCTCCACGGCAAATTGCCTGCTGAACTACGAATCCGGCTCATGCCTTGTCCAAATTCCCAACCCTCTGGGGTACTTTGGCCGACATGCTCGTCGCACCACTCAACGAGCGCACCCAATCTTCCGCATTCGAAGGTGACCAGGCAATCCGCCAAAGAGACACAGATCCATGCAGGGGCCTTCGGCCTGCAAATTGCCTTTGAGGAGGATCCAAGAGTACGAGAAACAGGGAGGGACAGTCTCCTCAATGAGATACAATAGTTTACTACTCGCTGCATCATGGCTTTCGAATTCCGCCCAGCAGCACAGCCTGCAGGTTGCCGTTGCTCATTGCAGACCTAATCCTCATTGCATCGTGCCGATCTGCGCCACGGCCAAGGGCCGAACCACGCTGGGACTTGGAACGGACGACGAAGTAAAGCCGCAAATGAATTTTCAAACAATGGCAACAGCTCCGTCCCACACTCTCGGTTCCGCAAGATCGAGATGCCAGGGCTTCACCTGTGACCTCCAAAGGATACGCGCGGCATTCGAAGAAGTTGCGGGTTAATCGACGGGCTACTTGACCGTGTCTTTGCTACTCAAAATTCCTTCTACTTTGATGCCTCTTGCATTGCCTGCCCACCAAGACCTCGATGTGACACTACTCCAATGCGATGGGCTAGAGACCGTCGTTGCTAACCCGGTACACAGGCACCGGTAGAGTGATGATCGTCGACAGGTTGAGCGAGGGGAGTTTAAAAGGTGTGCTATGTTGAGAGACGGGTGCGGGAATCGACTTTTGACTGCAACGATCTCGGCCTTGTCGGAGCTCGTGTGACTCGTAGCAGCTGCAGCGTTCATGGCGATGCAGATTTTGGTGTCGGTCTTGCGCTTGGCCTTCGCCTTGGACTTGGCGGGGGTGTTAGTATCCCTGAGGGCGGCAAGTTGGCGGTTCCCAGACCAAAAAGGAGAATGCAAAGGCCGACAGGGAGGAGAACAGCAGAACAAGAAGCTCAACGCAGGACAAGGCAAGACGAGTCGATCCGATGCGAGATAGCGACAAAGGCCAATGTGTCCTGTCAGTCTTGGCGACACCTCCGGCGACACCTGGGAGAAATGCCGGGTGGCCACCTCTGTCTGGGTGATGCCAGGAAAGCTTCGTTCCTGCCGTTTCTAAAGTGGTTTCCGTCTCGTGCTGGTGGTGCCTGCTTTGAACGGGAGAGCGGGTCCTGCCCACTGGCAATGCCCTTTCACCTGCCAGAGCAACCCAGTGAGTGCTTTGCGACTCCTCCTTCGCAAGTGTTTCGTTCCCCCGCGCAACGTGAACCCGCAAGATTCATCCACAAACAGGCGCCGCATTTATTATCAACCCAACTTCTCTCGGAACGACAAAACACTCGAAGACTCCATTGCAAGCCCCAAAAGCGGCCCGGTAGTCAACACACCATCGACCATAGCTTTGCTTCAGCGGAACCATCGGGTGACGAGTGCTCAACAGATACCGACAGATCATGGCCCTCGGTGCTCCAAAACCCAAGAACCCAACTACCTCGAGCGCGAAAACCGGCATGCTCCATCCTATCCCGCCGACCTCCTCACCATCGTCGCAGTGGAAAAACCAGCCAAAGTTACCGTTACCCCACCGTGGCCGTAGCCTGCAAGACTCCAAACCTCGCACTCCGGTCTATCCTACTGATCGACAAGCACACTAGGTTGATTGGAGACTTGATAAGAGGCAGACTGTGCAGATAGTGGCTGGGGCTTGGAAATGGCGGGAGCTAGCGGATGGATGTAACGAGAGGGTCGGCATCAATTTCATCAGCAGTATCATCAGGGAAGTCCTGGACAGACATCAGTCACGCGCATTTATCTATTCGTTTCACGTTTCTTTACCACAATCGAGTGCTCAGGTCGAAAATGCTGAGTCTTTGTCAGTACCAGATCCCCAAGTCTTGACGTACTCTCCTGGACCATTTCGCTGTCATGCACACGGCTTGCAAACTTGTAGCCGCCTCCGATACCTTGATCGATGCCGGCATACTCCTTTCCCCCTATGCTTCATCCACATCTTGCATCCGTCTCCTTCGTGAAGAACGCGAACCTCCTCCTCTCTTCCCCTCCGATGATCCTCTGTCCCCCGGTGCCGCTCCAACACCACCACCTTGGTGCGGCCGCGTCATCCTTCCGACCCTTCTCACAACCAATCTACCCGTCTACCCGGCTGTCCAGCTAGCCAGCTAAAGCCTCGCTTTTTGTCCCTGCGCCGTCAACGGCGACCAGCTCCCGGAAACACTGCATTCGATTCCCCGTCCTATTCAATTGCTGCCGCGTCTGCCCGTCGTGGACTCCGAGCTAGTCATGGAACCCGACCACTATTCACATCGTCTTTCTCCTGTACCTGACTATTTCTGCCCGTCGTCAATGTTGTCGTCGGCATCACCAGCTTGGTTTTGTCACGCTTGTACAGGAGGTCGCCTGAAACCGCCTGCAAATAGCACCACAACGTCGCTCCTCGGGAGCACTAAACATGACGAAGTATGCCCCTGGGCGTGTGTAAAGTAGCTCACAACCATGACTCATGCGGAAATAGGAGTCCTTTGACGAATGGCACAGCTTGACAATAGCAGGCTGGTTGCTTCATCATCTCCATCCTCCAATTCACTGGCCATCCGTCGAGGCGTTGTCCGCCAACCATACTTTTGGTACTGCATCACGCTTTCTGCCACATCTTCCGTAGACGTTCATTGTGGCAATCAAATGGCAATGTGATGTCCACCAGCGGTGGGGGCAGATCTGCCTTCAACACTATCTATGGGACTCGCCAGCAGACGCTAGTGACGACTACGAGAGGCGTCTTCAAGTACGTCCTTGTCGCCGACAAGCACTACAGCCAAGGTGTCTGGCGCCCTAAGATAACGACGCTCCAAGTCTGAACTCCTTCACCGTATCAATTCTTGTGCTAGCTTGTACGCCGCCAAAGCCGTGACCTGGGGAGAAAGCGTTACTCATACAGCACAGCAAAAAAATTACTTAGACAAAAAACATACAACACCGGGTATTCGCTGGTCGTCACCGACCCAACTACTAATCCAGCCCTCACTGGCTTATCTATGGGAGAGCGGACGGGATCCCGAGTTTTCCAGTGGGCATGGTCGCATGTGATGGAATATGTAGTCAATGTCAATTATGTAGCCAGAATCGCAAGTCCGTTTCCAAAACTTCGTCGCGCTTCGAAGCGCACCTTCGCGGGTTTGCACCTCAAAGATCCTTGCTCCGGAAGTCTTAAGGGGTGGGAGCAAGACCCGATACAGCTAGCCGGGTGGGTCAAGACATGATGCCACTTCGCCGTGAAGTGAAGGCATTTGACAGACCAGAGAGCCATGGAGTCCAAGCTTGAAGTCCATGACACACCGGAAGTCGTGGAAAGGCATGATCTAAGGCTCAAGTTGAGTCTTGGCCTGAATGGCATGGTTGAGGAAACGGCCGACAGCCTATTGAACACACAGTTCAAACAAACGGCTGCGCTCCTGATTACGCATATCTGTTGGCGGGATGGCGGGCTGGAAGATGTCTGTTAAATGTTTTCATGAGAAGAACACTGATCAAGCCATCTCCGAGGTGTCATTTGTTGACTTGAAATGATATTTGCGCAAGTGGAAACGGTTATCTAATGCAATTTCGTCAGCATGTCCAACACATGGGGTTGATGTTAGGAAAACGGTGTTTCAGCATGTCAGTCAGGGTAGTCTGCTTGCTGTTCAGGCTCCCAACCGTCCTGCATGAGTCTCCAGATCTTTCTCGTCATGTTGTAAATGCGTCACGGAGGGGCAAAAAGATGCCTTCCTTCCGCAAGGAACTTGCTCTCGGCCGGGCGCACTAGGCCATCATGATCGCGATTTCCACCTCTCTATATCGCAGCTACGGTTCTTTCGCGGGTGTACTCACCATCAATATCGCAGATGTCAACCACGCTCGTCCTGGGACCATGCCTTGGCTTCGGTGACGAGCACCCGGTGTTCCTCTCTCGTTGTTCTTGCCCACACCTATCTGTTCTGCCGTGCAGATCGAATGTCTCGACATCTTTACAAGTTAAACAGTCCAGAACAAGTGTTCCAGGACCACAGACTAGCCTACAACCGTGCTAGAATGGACAAGATCTGCCATGTGGGCAGAGTAAGTAATGTGTCGCTGGGTGAGAAGCAGCGCGGGGCACAGCTCGGGCGGTGCTTCATGTGTCCATCATCACTCGCTGCAAGAACGAGCCGGGCCGCCCGTGGTGTGGCCATCGTGTTAGTCGTGCCGCTAGAAGTGCGGCCTTTTGATATTGTGCAATCACGAACAGATGATGA